CCCCCCCCTCTGGGGAGCGCGTGTGCCCAAAAAAAAAAAAAAAAAAAAAAAAAACCTCTAAAAAAAGAAAAAAACAAAAAAACCTTTACTTTTCTGTTAAAACTTCTCTTTTTCTACTTTCCACGTGTTTGTGGTTTTTAATTCTGTGACTCAGGGCAGGTCTCTAAACTTAGAGATCTGGGCCTAAAGAACCTAGGATTTTACACAGTACAGCTCAACTCCCCCATCCTGTGACAGCACTCCCTACAGCAGATCCACTCCCTGCAAGCACTGGGCTGGTCGATGAGCTGGCATTTCTCCTCAATATGATAGTCAGTCTTTGTGCAAGCTGCTTCTCTCGGCTCACACATTATGTCAGCTTCTCAAAGACTGAACAAGCCTAAATAAAAACCAGAAGCCCAAACGAAGCCCCTCTGGCCCAATGCTTCATTTACAAGCCATTTTTCTGGGAGCTCTTCCTGCCTGGGAGCTGTGTTATTCCTTTCTTTCCTTTTAATAAACTCTGCTTGCTATCTCCTCTCTGTGCCCACATCTCTAATTCTTCATGAGCGTGAGTCAAGAACCTGTGTCCCCTGGTGGTCGCTGGGCCTCATCATCTCCGCACTCCCACATTGCTGCATCACCAGCACATTCGGTGTCTGCTGAAGGCCCTGCTTCCTAGGGACCAAACCTTAGGAATGCAAAGTACCCGAAAGAGGTCAGAGTGCTTCTGTGAACAGTGTGCAAACAGTCCGTAAGCTTTGCAGTTCCTGTTCCCTGCACCGTGTCCTAACCCTGACTTGGCAGTGCTGTGACATAAGCACGCTGTGTCCTCTCATAAGGGAGTGAGAATGTAGACCTCTGCTGCCTCTTTCATAAGCCACTAACCCCATGAGGGCTCCCCCAGCATGACCCCTCCTTCCCACTTCCTAAAACTGTCGTGTTGATGATTAGGTTTCAATATATGGAGTTTGAAAGAAGCACACATCTTCAGACTGTCAGACCGAGTGATATTTTATTGAGTGTAAACACTGTATTTTGTTTATTCATCTGTTGATGGGCATTTGAACTGGTTCTACCTTTTGGCTATTATGAATAATGCTGCAATGAACATTTGATACACAAAAATCTATTTGAGTCCCTGCTGTCAATTGTTTTGAGTATATACCTAAGAATAGAACAACTGGGTGATCAGGTTGGCCCCCCCCCCAAAAAAAAAACACACTTTGTCATTGTACTTACAACTTTTTTGTTAAGTTTGAGCTTGCTTCGAAATAAAATAAAAATTTATATATGGCTAGAATTGTGTTTAACTGTTCAAATTTTTGTCATACATGAAGATTTTGGGTGTTAATAGCAGTGGGTGAAAAGGACTTTGTGGTCTAGCATCAGAGCTATCAGTGGTATGGCGGTCCACCCTAATGTCTTTCGTTAGCTTGTAACTATTTATTTGTGACTGCTAAGATCTGATTCACTTTCTAAACCTTATATAACTTGCCATTTAACTATTTCATTTCCCCCATATAAAGTTATTATTGTAAGACCCAAATAATAATTTTAAAAAATCAAAATAGACAAGTGGAAAGGGTAATAAAGCTCCTAGGTCCTGAAGAAATTAGTCCTGAAAACTATTAAAACAAATTGCACGAGATCATGGTGGGTAGAATAAGCTTAGTGTTGATAGTAGCCAATCTGCCACTTCATCTTTGCTCTTCACTTTAGCAGTACACTCTGGTGTCTTCTCAGTCAGGAAAACAAGGCGAGTGTATGTTTTCCGTCACACACAGAAATTTCTAATAGAATTTCTGCCTGTAAATGCCTGGTTGGAATATGCTAATTTTCAGAGCACACTGCTACCTACCCTTTCCTTCTAAGATTTACCCCACTCCATAGTTCCTGGTCCTTCTTCAGCAGTCCAGCAGGTGGCAGTCTAGGAGAGGAGCAGTTATCCTTCCCATGCCACCCCCCCAAGCCAACCAGGAACCTTATTTGCAAAACAGAAAAAATGTGAATTCAGCAATATGCCTTGTTTTCCTTCTCGTCTCTGGCATAAGAACGGGATTTCCAAGACTTTTCTCAATAGGGTATTTGGGCATATAAAGTAGTGTAAGAAACAAAACAAAAACAATGTTGTATAGATGCATAACTGTGCAGCCTTGGGAAGCTCAAAGATTCTTTTTCTTTTTTCTCTTTTTCATAATTTCTAGAAGTTCCACTGATTTTATATCTCTTTGCCCTGATTTCAATGACATGGCTTTGGGGAGGACTGCACTTGGCCTACAGACACTTCTGGATGTTGGTTCTCTTTGTCATTTTCAACAGTCTGCAGGTAAGTGGAACCATCTCGTTACTGAAAACATGTTTATCCTAATGAACACAAAACATGAAACGTCCATGTGCAAGGTTCAAATGTCCCTGCGTTGGTGAATTTGAACACACAATAGTATGATCTGGAGTTGTCGGAAAAAATGATATGGGGTGGGGGCCCGCAGATGATGTAGCAGTTACGTTGTCGGACTCCCACATGGCTGACTGCAGTTCAAGTCTCAGACCTGGTGAAAACTAATGCCAGGCATGTGTGTGTGCATGCCCAAGATCCTGGGAAGAAAATGGAAAACGGACTGCTGTGTGGGCACCCCACCCCCACCTGGGGGGCGCGTGATTTCTCACTTTTCCTCTCACTTTCTTTGTCTCTCTCTCTCTCCAGTGAGTACACACACCCCTAAGGCAAAATCCTCTAAAAAAAAAAGATGATATGGAGTGATATATGGCTTAAAATATTTTTTATGGAGTTTTTTTTTTCATTTACATATGTTTAATTTTAATTTGCTGGAGGGTACACGTGCTCAGTTGAGAGAGACAGGGGAGAGGAAAGTAAGAAAACATCTCCTAAAGGGGATGGCTACTCCACAATCCTTTCTCCTCCATCCTCCTGTTGGGATTTTGAACATCCACCAGCACATATACCTAGCGTGTTTTCAAGGTACCAGGTACAGGATTCAAACTGTGCAGATGTCTATATGGGATCCAGCTACCTTAACCACCATGCCACCAGCTGACCCTGAAATTTTAATATGCTCTAATGTTATACAGCTAGGGAAAACAAAAAATCCTTTTTACTCTCCTTCATTTTGACAACATCCAAGAAACTACAAAAATGTATTTCTTTTTTCAGCCGGACTGATGTTTATAAGCTTTACAAATGGCAGCTACGTAGGACGTGTGCATGTATTTGGACCATGGCTGAGTCTAGCAATTGGATCAACTGAGGAGTGAAGTAGATAGCGGTGATCAGACAGTCCCCTCTTATGTCTGATGCTTAGTGAAATGTGAGCATTTTGGTTCACTGAAAAATGATTGAAATCCCCTAAGTCCAGCAGTGCCCAGCTTAAATTTGTTTTGTGAGCGTGCTTGGATAGCATAACCAGAAATTATATAACTCTAGCAAAAATTAAAGCTGACTCTTTTAGTGCTTTTGTTAAATGGAAAAAATGTTGCACCCTGAAATTAACACATGGAACAAATGAACACATTTTCCTTATTTTCCAAAGTGAAAAGATCTGTCCCAGACTAAAGTCATTTCTTAAATTTACTAAAACTAAATAGTTCTAAATAGTTGTTGGCCACCATCTTGTAAGAAACATGTGTATTAATATGTATGTGTCCATATGTGAATACACATATGACCTACACTGAGGATTGTAGCATACAACCAAAATAGGACCCAAAGCATTTTCAGGTTTACTCTTTGGGAGATAGATTATGCTATGGTTACTTAGCTTACATGGTGGTGCCCAATCACAGTGAAATATCAATTTAGGAAGGGAATGCAAAATGAACTTTAGAATCATCAAGTTGGTACAAGTTGATATATAGACACCTCTCTATAGATCTGGATACAATTGCACTCCTGTTACTAGCCAAGCAGTGTGTTACTTTCTGCCAGTATCAGGGTGAGAAAGACCGCCCTGCCCCTTTTGGGGCTGGTGCTTCAGGTGAGTAAACAATTTGCTGTAAGGATATACTGGGGCAGGTGCCACATGAAAGGAGCATTGTTGAAAGTCGAGGAAGGGCCTGTTTATGCTCATGCTAGCATTTGGGCTGAACCAAAGGTGAGCCAGCTGGTCAGAGGCTCTGCCTAGAACCCAGAGGAACTAAGATCAAGGCACAGACTGACAGCCTGCCGTTTCATTTAACACCACATAAAGATGCACAGAAGAATGTCAGATTGTTTGTAATATTTGCTGAAATTTTTTTGAATGGTTTTTGCCATAGTGCATCTGTACTCATTGGGGAGAGAGAGAGGGAAAGTGAGAAATCACCCCCCACACACACACCCAGGGGGATGGCCATGCCACAGTCTCCTCATCTCCTCTCCTCTGTCTTCACCTCAGGACCATTGGCACGCGCCCAGTGTGACTCTCAAGCCGCCAGGTCCAGGGCTCCCATTGTGGTCAACCCCGTGGGACCCCAGCACCTTAATCCCCATATTATTTGCTGGCCTCGTGACAAACTTTCTAAAATTGAGAAATTTCACATGAAAAACCTGAATTTCTGGCTTTTCTTTAAAGGCAGTACTTGCATGGCAGCCATTTTTTCAGTCCTGAGCAGATGCTATCCCTTTTAGATGGATCACGTCCAACCTCAAGTCACACCTAGTACACGTCATTCATTCATTTCACCTGCCCGGAGTGTGTGACACCTTTAATGTGTATCAAGTAAATGATGGCTGTATGGTTAGAGATGGGTATTTCAGGCAGAGAAAAGTGTCAGCTGAGGCAGCAAAGCAGCCTAGGTTGAACGAAGAGTTGAGATGTGGGAAGATTGCCGTCAGAAGATGAAGTGATGGAAGACAGAGGGTAGGTCGGTCCAGACACCAATTTACCGTCCTCAGGGTGTTAAACTTTAGGCAGTGGAAAGATACCAATTTTGTGTTTTCTTTGCTTTATTTTATTCTGTTTTTTTTTTTTCTTTTGTAATTTTGTAATTAACTTTTTTTTTTTTCAATTGGGAGTAACATGGTCATACCTACCCTTCCAATGGCTACCTTGTTTAGGAGGAGGTACTGAACAAAAATGCACATCTAGACAGGCCGGCTGTTGTCACATCCCAGACTATAGGTGTTCTGTCAACATACCCGAGAATAAGGAGTAGATGACAGGTTTGAGAGCAGTTATAAGGATAAATATTCATAAAATTTGATTGGCCAGTTTAATGTCAGAATGTCCAGCTTGAGAAAGAAATCACCCAGAAATTCTTGGCTTGATTTAATCAAAATAGAAATCACTTAAGCAGTAAGTCTCTAGGGAATATGCAGCAACGTTGATGAGATTTGGGAGACACTGGCAAATATACCAATGTCTTAGTAACTGGGTATGTGGAGAGGGCTAGCAAAGAGATTATTGGTCAGTGACCAGAAAGCTAGGAAGAGAACTAGGTAGAGTTGGCATTGCTGGTTGGAAAGAAAGCTTCAAAAGAAAGCTATGCCTCTCTGTCAAGTGTAGCAGACAAATGAAACAGGTGACAACTGAGGCGCTATGCAGTGGTTCCCAAATTGTAATGTGCATCAGAATTCCATGGGAAGCTTGTTAAAACACAGATCAGGAAGCTTGCAGGTGGTGGTTAAGGCCCTGAACTCCCACACAGTGAACCACGGTTCAAGTCCCGGACTTGATGACTCGTTTTTTCACTTTCCCTCTCTCTTTCTGGTCAAATTAAAAAATAATCATAATGATAAATAAAATTAAATAATTGTTTAAAAAAAAAAAAAAACAGATCAGACTAGCTCCATGGTCTGGTGGTTGGGGCAGCGAGGTCCCACATGGCCGACCATGCAGTTCAAGTCCTGTACACAGTGGTTTGAAAAACACCTGGGCACATGTGCATCTGTGCCCAAAGTCCCGGAAGGAGAGTGAGAGAGAGGGGTAGGGATTGCAGCATGACCATGTCCCATGAGGGATGCTTTCTTCTCACCTTCTCTCTGTCTCTCTCTAAAAAACTAGTCATTGTTCACCCAGCTGTAGTGGACACACTGTTGTAACATAGCCTGGGCCCACTCACTGAGAGGCCTAGTTCAATGCCCCATCCAACCAAAAGACCAGCTCCAGTGACATGCACCTGTGATTCCATCGACTAGGGAGCCCAAGGAAGGGGACCGTGAGCTCAATACCGGCTTGAGCTACAGAGGGAGGCCTGTCTGAAAGCTGGGTGTGGCGGGGTTCACCTGTGCTCTAGCCGGGAGTCTGAGGCAGGAAGGTCATGACGTGGCAAACCCTTGTCTTATGTATCAAAAGACAAGGCTTCAGGTACAATAGACCCAGGTGGGTCTGATCATCTGTATTTCTAACGAGTTTCTAGGTGATGCTGACTGAGCTGATCTAGGGACAGTTTGAGAAAAAAGAAGTGAAATGGAGAATGCGAAGCAAGAGAAAGCAATGGCTTAGGAAAGGAAGCGGGTTGCTTCGAAGGAGAGTTTGTTGGTTTTGTTTTCTTCACTCGTGAAAAGAACCAACAAAGGAGAACCTGACAACTGGAGGAAAGACTCTGCACATCAAGGTTGCGAACAGCGCAGGATTCCCTGAGCAAAGAGGAGATGTTTCTCTCACAGAGGCTGGGAAAGGACTTATTGGTGGATGTGAAAACTACTCTGGAGCTAAAACTGGGGAAAGCTGACATTTGCAGTCCTCTCTTTTCTCTTAAGATGCACCATCATTTATTGAGAGGAGTGTTTGAAAACTTTAGGTAAAAATAATAAAAAGTTATGAAGCCGTTTCTAGAGAGAAAGTAAATAAACTATGTCAGAAGGTGGTCAAGAGGGTATTGCTGAGCTGGTCGTGTGGCCTGATGGTTAAGGCAGCCAAGTCCCACATGGCCGACCAGGTGGACAAATCCCAGCTCTAGCAGCTTCAAAGACATCCGCTGGGCCCGGATGCTTGCATGCCCCAAATCCCAACAGGATGGGGAAAGAAGAGGAGAAGGGATTGCAGCATGAACAGGCCCCTTTGAGGGGTGCTGTGCCTCTCTCTGATGACTGTATGTGCCCTCTGGCAAATTTTAAAAAAGAAGAAAAAACGTGTTGCTTAGAAACACAATAGCATTCAGTGGAGATTAGACACCTTGAATCTGTAATTGAGCCAGTCAGTAGTAATTAAATAAATGTAAACCGTAAGATGACAGTGGTAGCCCGTGTAACCTCTCAAGCCACACAAGCTTACTGAGTTTGTGTGGGGGTTTCTAAATAAAGGAGTCCTGTTGAGGGTGATACTCTATTTTATTGGGAGATATGAAGGAAATGATGTTGGGAACCAGCAGTTAGCGTGATGGCTATGT